GCCTGCCCCTGAGGCGCCGTTCAGCGGGCTTAAAATCTTCTGTAGCACCGTAGCGCATCACAGCTAACCGGTTAGGATAAAATGATGTCGCTGACAAATTACATCGACAGGCTGTGCTGTACTCTGCAGTGATCTTGGAGCAGAGGGGTCCGGTTCAACTGTCAGTGCTGTCAAGGAAACAACCTTTGGCATTAGGATGCCATGGATAGCTGGTGTTTTAATTGGATGTAGTAACACCTCCCAGCCTCTGCCCAGCTGAATGTGGGTATTGCTGATGTCCTTGAGGACGCATTTTAAGGAATCAAGTGTATAAGCAGAATGTAGTGGCTGTAAGACTGTTTTTCAGAAGCTTTGTAGGAGTAATCTTGTAGTGAGACTAACGTTCATGTAAGAAGTGAGGACTTAATTTTCACCTCTCCTTCTTGCAGGCTGCAGAAGATGTCAATGTTACTTTCGAAGATCAACAGAAAATTAACAAATTTGCAAGAAATACTAGCAGGATCACAGAGCTGAAAGAAGAAATAGAAGTGAAAAAGGTATATTTGCTTCAAATATCACTTCTTCTTCATTGCTCTGAATTAATTTTCAGTTGTAACACGGAAAATAGGGGCTGTGGATTACTGTAAGTAATGCTTTGGTTCTAATATGGGATTTCTGATACTTTGAAAATAGCCAGAGAACATTAAAGTGGAAAAAGAAGTCATGAGAAATAAAGGCCACTGCATGCAGTTCTTAGAACTCTTTAGTTGTCATATATGAAGCAGTGTCTATGTATAATGGCTGTTGGTAGTGTTCTTAAAATTTCCTGCCTGGGATTGTTCATACTTATTTTTTTCTTGAACCAGTAAGGCAGGTGTTCGTTACGTTCTTCTTTTGATGTGTTGACAGAGATTGTAATTATGAGCACAGAGGTTTTCTTTTGCTAGGCTGAAGAGGACACATCATTCTAATTCTGTCTTTTAGTATTAATTCACTTTCCTTCAACATCAGTCATAGCATTTCCAAAGAAGTTTTACCAAGTTTTTAAAAAATGCTAGTACTGTCACAAAATGTTTTCTGTAATTACTTTGCCTGATATGTATATTGTAAAAATGTTGCCTTTTTATGTTGATGTTCCATTGATGGCTTAAGGTGCTGGGACTCTTCAGCAATCCTGCTTTTGCAATGAAGTAATTAACATTTGCCATCTTATTATTTTTTTCTGTTCTCTAGCTAAATTTAAAAATTCCTGTGTAAGAGCATATCAGATATTAGTGAAACTTGAATGTGCTGTATTTCCCTTGTCTAGACAGTTAATTATCCTATTAATGATAGGTAATGAGTATTGACTAGAAATTTCTACTGGTACAGCTCCACTGAATTTAATACTTATGCTAAATTACACCTCTGGAACTGTTCTGTTAAACATGTTGATATGCTGGCAGGTAGGATGTTTGCCCAAAATACGGGCTCACTGAGTTCATTATTCAACTGATAGCATGACAACATATCTGTTGAAATAATTTACCTAGTACAAAGTGACCACCTTTCTTATGTCTTGATAAATAGAAACAACTTCAGAATTTGGAAGATGCTTGTGATGACATCATGATGCTTGATGATGGTGATTCACTTCTGATACCCTACCAAATTGGAGATGTCTTCATCAGTCATTCCCAAGAAGAGACACAAGAAATGCTGGAGGAGGCAAAGGTTTGTCTGGGGAAGAGGGAGCTCCTTTACTGTAGTGGCTGCTGTAGCATGATGAGCATTGTAATGGGATGCTCTGTTCATCCTTTGAACCTTTTACTTTCTAAAGTTCATGTTTGATTTATGATTTGATAACTGGGCTGCCAGTACACAAAGTCATGCTAACCTTTGTTTGGCCCCTTAATAAGTCTTACAGCCTGACTTGGCAAAAAGTTGGCAAAGAGGTACTTCTGTATTGTTTATATGTTGCTGACAAACATGACTCAGTTTGTTTTACATAACTAGTCGATTTTTTTTTCTTTTTCAGAAAAGTTTACAAGAAGAAATTGAAGTGTTAGAATCCCGAGTGGAATCAATTCAGAGGGTGTTATCTGACCTGAAAGTTCAGCTCTATGCAAAGTTCGGAAATAACATAAATCTTGAGGCTGAGGACAGTTAAAGGTGTTCTAAATATACCATACAGCTTTTCCTTGTTTTATTAAATGTTTTGATAACATTGTTCCAATTACATTTAAAAAAAAAAAAATCCACCACTTCATTTTCTTTTTTTCTTTTCTTTTTTTTACTTTCCTGTCTTGGGTTCCATCTATTTAATGAGAGCTTTCTTATTTTGGTTATTGCAGTTATTTATTTGTTCAGGAAAGCATTAGCTTCATACTGTTGGTAAAGCATCAAGATTGGCATATTTGCATTGTTTATTAAAATAATAAAGTCAGGCATATGTTTCCTTGGTCTTGTTTTCCACTCATGAAAATACTTAAGTACAAAACCAATAGAAATGGGGAAATTTTGATTTGCACTGTAATGGCTGTTTGATAAAAGTTTCTCTGTAATTTATAGGGCATGATCTCACATTCAGCTGTAAGGCTATTTAGCTGTTTTTAGCAGCCCTCCTGGAAATACTAAATCTGTCCTTTGTCTTTCAATCTTAGCTCAGATAGCATAAACACTGTTAGCTCAGTGCACAACGTGGCAACAAGTTGACAGGGCAGAAAGGAGGGCTCTTTAAAGCTCGCATTGGTATTGAAGAAAAGCTTTTGGAGTCACAGTCATGTTCAGTCATTTACTACTTTGTATTTGGGAATCACAAAAGACGCTGTAAGTCACAATGGTGAGTCTTCTAATTTTTCTGAACAATCATTTTCTAAATCCACATTAATATACCAAATTAATGTCAGAATTCTTCACAGATGATATTGCTATGTCAGCATCAGTCTCTGGAACTATGTCTCCATTACTATGTGGAGTTGAATGCAATTTTTAAATGTGTTAATTTGCTGACTCCGTACATCCTTAAAAAAAATTATGTACTGTCTCACTGTAATTCTGCTTTTGGACTTTTGCCTGCTTTGATTAATGTATTGTTCCATGGAAATACTTGCTCATTATGACTTTGTTTTTAAAAATTAAAACTTGGCATACTTAAATCCTCTTTTTAAGCTATTTTCCAAAACAGTGTGGACAGAGAATTCAGTTTGCCAAATATTAATCTACAGTCATTGTTTTTAATATAAATAATCAGAGTATGAAATTAGTATATTTTTATAAAGTGATTAATACCTACCTGTCATATGCCAATTGTGTAGCACCTCTTCTTCAAACAGTGTGAACACGGATAAAAAAAACCCACTTAGTTTCTCTACTATTAAAGCAGTTTTAACAGGGTAGTGATCTTGAACTTGATCTTCAGTACAGCTGAGCAGGATCTCACCAGTGCATTGTTATTTATGAATTACATCTTACATAGTTGTTTACTTAAGTTTATTAACGTTGTATATAAGGTTTAGCACAGCCATAAGAGAAGACTGTCTTTTGACAGTGAAGATCTAATACCTTAACACAAGCACTTGTTTTATATACAATGTATATAAACTGATGGCTCTAAGTCTCAAAAGCTGTGCTAACGTTTTGTCTAGCCCTGGCCTTTCCCGAGTTTCTCTTCAGTAGAATTCCAATGGTTTGTATGCTTCTGCTGCTGGATATGTGTACAAATACCCTGGCTATAACTGTACAGATTTTTAACCTGTTTTCTAACTGGTTGCGGTTTTAATTCAAGTGTATGCCTCAGGAAAGAGTTCAAGTTTTTCCTGAGTGAATACTTAAGCTACTCTTAGGTAAAATGTGGACATAGCAACTCTGTTGCTCTATTTGCTAGCCAATGCTTGTAGCAAGTCAAGTCTGTTGGGCCTTCAAGGAGACAGAGGTGTTCCTCTACATAATTTCTGAACCCTTCATAAGTTTTCTGTGTTAGGCAGGTGTTTGGCACCAAACTACTTAGAGCAGTTCTGGGTTGACCAATTACTATTATTTTGGGCACTAAAGGGAGAAGAAGGTGGCCATTTATTTAAGAGCAGCTGATATGAGTATTGTGGACTTAGGTGACTCAGCTCTGCCTTATTCTGCTTTATTAGATACAGCTCTTAGTCCAAAACTGTCTTTCAGGACAGTGCAGTTTGAGAGCTAAGTAATGCAAGGTTACAGTCTTACGAGGTGCTGGTATCTTGAGGTTTTTTTTCTAAACAGCCAAACCATTTATTTGGTATCTTCAAGTAAACCGTCCAATGCACTTGTCTTTATAATTATAAATCAAAGAAAATGTAAAAGACTTCTTTTTCCAGGTGAAAACTGAGGTAGTGGTGGAGTTTGACCCATAATGAGAAGCATCCAGCAGATGGCATCAAAGAACTGGGAAACGCATTGTACGGTAAGCCCATGCCTAGGCTGTGGGTGCCAGTGCTGATTTTAGTAAAGTGAAACTTTGGCTGCAATGATCACATTCTCATTCATTGGTTGGTAACACTTTAAAATTCAGTCCTAAGTGACTGCTATGTCAGCTCTTCTGTTCTGAGCATATTTATGGCTGTGCAGACTGCAGGTATTTAAAATGATTGTGATTTCCAGATAGGCCATAGTATGGACATGGCTTCATTATGGAAAAGAAAAAGGCAGCTGGTAAGGTTTAACTGTGATTCCAGTGGCAGCTATAAAGCCGATGAGGACCTTGTTTCAGTGAAGGACACAAAGGGAGAATGCTGGTGAGGTGTGAAGAGCTTGCGTTATCCCTGCTGTTCTTTGGTATCGTAGAAGTGGAATTGTCCATTTATACAGCCACGGTGTTTAGGGAAAAGAAGTCTGTTGGTGTTCTTCTCAATGCCAAAAGTTTTTCCTCTCTGGTGCTGGATTTCAGCCCTTTGGGGTTTGTTTTGTGACCCCACTCCCTTATTTTCTTTCTTTTTTCTGGTTATCATGGTGTTGGTATATTTTAGGCCATTTCACTAGGCCTTCCTGCACTACCAGAGTTTAGGCTTTTATGTGTATGATGCGTCTTTCCTGTTTGCTTAGTCCTTACTACAAATTGTATGTCCATGTAGCCTTGAAAATCTAGGTGCATTTTTGCACATGTAATGTCTGGTTTCTTTGTGTTGTTTGAACAGTTGTGTTTGCAAGTCAGGCAAGTAATTATCCAACAAACTCTTTCAGATTAGTCTCTGAATTTTTGTTGTTTACAGAACATGTTGTCCTAGGCTATCATTTGATATTTTCATATGTGTAAAATAGAAGGTACAGGAAACTTTTTTTTGTTCTTAAGTTGTCATTGTAAAAGTTAATTTGCAGATCGTCCATCAGGTGTTTGAAAGTATTTGGCAGATTCCTAGTTTTTCCTTTTAATAACCTTTCCCCTCCCTTGTGAATATATGCAATTGTTTTTCAGTTGGCATTTATTCTGTTTAGCACCCCATCTTCTAAGTACTTTTTATTTTGGTAGATTTGGAAATTTTTGTTATCTGTAATAATGTTTGCCTTACAGTTATCTTGTTCAGATAATATAAGTCCATGAAAAAACCTGATCCTCTGTGCTCCTCTGTGCATGTCATGAATCATTTAGCTGCATTTGACAATATGCATTTTTTCATATCGTTGTCAGAATGCAAATAGTTTATTGTCATTCTCTGTATTGTCAAGGGAGTCACATTTGTAAAGCACTTCAAAGATGAAATGCACCATAAAAATGCTAAGTGTTATTTTAATCTAAGGGCTTCATTTGGAGCATTGGGCCAATGATCTCTTATGATCTCTTAGTGATTGAATTAGCTATTCAGCTCTATCTTTGTATTAAAATACAGTTTCCATACTGTTTTTGTTTTGCAAGTCACAGAGCCACCAGTGGCTGGCTTTTCACTTGGTTGCAGCAATTAAAGCAGGTAAACTAGCAAAACTGCAGCCAGTGAAATATAGCTCACTTCAGTGCATGCTGTCAAGGAGACTTAACTTACCAGTTTTTCAAAGTAGCCTGGTAAAAAATCCCAAACATAGTAGGACACAATTATTAGATTTTCAGGGGCTTGTTTGTGATTCTGTATCTTGTCAGCTGATATAAAACTGGTTTCCACATGATGATCTCTAGCATAACCTTCTCCAGTGGAACCTTCATTATTGCTCATCGCTTTTGTATAGAAGATCCTCGGATACCATTACACTCCATAATATAAATGTGGTTGGTAATTATTCAATAATTACAGGAAGCGGTGGGTAGCCAAAGTACAGATAATTTTGTGGTATTAACTATCACCTCAAAGAGCAAAAAGAGATTGAGTGCTGAATACTAAAGCCATATTTTCTGTAGGAGCAACAGAATTAAGTAGTTTGGCTTGCATGAGTCAGTGGTTCAGATAATTTATCTAATGTTATTCTAATAGTCTGATTCATGACAGAGAAAAAAATGTGGATGTATATGGGCATGATAAGGCCTGACAGAAATTATTTACAACCAAGTTTCTTCTTATATTGATTGTATGAGTCATACAGAAAAAAAAAATATTTTTGTAATTAAATGTTAGCTGCTGATCAGACTGCACAGAACGCAGTGCACAGAACGCAGTGCACCAAATGCAGGCGTAAATGGCTACGAAGGATTTCCCTCAGCAAGAGATGAAACAAGTTTACAGTTAAGGGGGACTGCATTCAGCTGTTAAAGAGATGTAATAAAAAAAATTACAAACTTGAGTAGAACATGAGCCATTTACTGCAGATTTACAAAATCTTGTTTGCTGTTGCTCTCCAAAGCTGGTTAGCATACAGTGATCTCAATTTATAAACTGCACGTATCGTTAGGTGGCCCTCTATACTTGTGCCAGCAAAGCCCACACTTATGGATGCCAGGTGGCGGGGTGCAGGGTTATGATGCAAGTGCATCAAAGGATTGCTTCAGGATAACCGCTGTGGTCTGGTCTGGCTTTGTTACCACTTGTACAGGCGAGAGGAGAGGCAAGATGTACTTGATGTTGAAATACAGGCTTGGCCAGTACTACACCTGGCCATTTCCTTAAACTATTAGGAAAATTTCCGGTTTGCTTTCTCAACACAGCCCAGCACAAGTGAGGAAAAACATTGTTCAGTGGATTTTATAGATTCTGTCAACTTTTACCCCTTCAAGCATGGTACAGAAGTCCATCATGTTGTCACATGTTTGGATGATTTTCTTGCCTTGTTAACTGTAGCTCATAGGATTGTGCATACCAGACATAGTGCTCAGGTAAAGTTACAACTGTTCTTAAATTATATTTACAGTTGAAATTTCTACTGTGTATTAGGTATCTTGATAGGAGTACGAATTAAACCAGACAGATTGGTAAGGGCTAGTCATTGAACAACAACAACCTATAGCACACAAGTGTAAAACCTGACTGCCTTTGGGTACACAATAGCAGTAAATCAACTCGGATAAAAA